CGTCCATCTGTATGACCAAAAATATGTACAGGATGCTTTAGGACTATTCACATAGGCAAAGCTTGAAAACCATGTAAATGACCTTCAGTGAGAGACTAACTTGTGTAACATTAAACCAAATGACACACACACACCAAGAGCCGAAAGTTCTACGTCTCCATCCGAATGGCATAACAGGTACAAAGGGCCTCCATGGGCATACTGGATCTGCGACAAAATGTGGATGAATCTCACAGTGTGGTCATGAGGGAAAGAAGCCTGACTCACAGAAAAGTACACAATATGTAGGAAACAGTTCTGAGCATCAGCCTGAATCAAGAGGAAGACCATGGCCTTAGGAAAGTAAGGCGGTACATCAGAACTCAGCGTCAGCAATATCGCTAGTTAGCATTAGTAAAGTCACTCTTCACTCGCCTGGTTTCATGTTTCCTCCCTAAAGATGAGAATAATGAAATCCTGACTTCTCCAAAGCAAAGAGCTGTTTCAAAGATCTCCCGAGGTCCCATGCAGCTTCCAGTGACAGACACAGGGCCGTGCACATAGCGGCACGATGCACAGCCTGGAAAGCCACCTACCTCGCCATGAGTAGAGGAGCAGCTAACGTGCTCAAGGAGGTGCTACTCTTCCATAAAGAGATAAACTTAAGTCACTTGTAGGCAAATGGTCGCATATTGATTCCATAATGGCAGGCAAAATAAAGCAAGCACACAAGTGTTAATATTGCCCAGCTCCTCCTACTCCAGAAACTCAAATTATAAAGATGGAGCTAAATAAAAGAGCGATGACAGGAAGTAGGAAAATAGACTCTTCTCAGGTGGGAGGGAGAGCAAGAGACGGGGAGGGGACGAGAAGGGAAGTCCATGCACCACCTCCTCACAGAGAACGTGTGCGCTGCGTGCCGGGACTGTGTATTAGTACTGGCAAGACCTGCGACCCGATGAGCTTACTTGACTACTTTGTATTTTATCAATAAACATGAATGGTCCTTTGAATGAAAACAGCAGCTCCCATTCTTCTAAGCCTTTAGAGCCACTGTTCATTTAATCTTCACCCAAAGTCTAAGTAGATACAAACTTTATCTCCACATTACGAATCAGGAAATAGAAGCCATGAGAGTAATTTGACTGAAGATGCCCAGCTGAGGAGTTGTGAGCTGCAGAGCCCAATGCAAAGCTCCTGACTTGCAGCCTGCACACATGACGGCTCAGTGCACATACGTCACTGTAATCCACTTAATCCCAGTAGAGATGACTTTCTAAATTAAGCTTAAAATAATCTGATGTCTAATCCCCCAAAGCATATTAAAATGTAATTTATATTATGTGTTGAAATTGATGTTGTTCAATCAAAAGACTGATTTAAGCTTATTCAAACCTGGCCTCTATGAGAAAAATGCCACTGAAATCATTATTACCACGCAAATACTAAAGAACCATGATGATCATTCACATCTCCTGCATTTGTCTTCTAGTAAAGGAAATTTCTCTCTCTCTCTTTCTGCATACTTTTCTATAAAAGGCATCAGTCAGATTTTCTTAAAATTACCTATTTTTGTGAACCACTCTTTCTGTGAAACTGCTCTGTGCATAAGCCTTAATCCACAACCCAGTGGAAGAAAATAAAGAAAAGCACCAACTTGTTTAAAATGTTTTCTAGTATCTGTTGCTTTCGATAATGTCATATTTCATAGAACATAAGTGTCTTCTGAAATTCTTCATGTGCTTTATAAGCTGAAGTTTTATATACTAGAATTATCTCGACCCTATCCTATTTCAGGGCTGAAGTCCCCCAGAACCTCCCTGCACTGGCTGAGAGGCCAGAGGCCAAGCCTGAGATGCAGGACAGGGACAGCTCCGCCCCGCTGGAGCCCATGCGTGACGGGAGCAGGCTCCCCAGACGCAGCTCTGCCTGTGCTCTAGAGCTGCGCGGCACCTTGCTGAGCTTAGCTGCCAGCCGACGAAACTGGACCACGGAGAGCGATGCTAACAGATGGTTCCAAAGGAGACAGCAGGCTGGGAAGCAGCACACTGCACTTGGAACTTCTGAGGGGACTCGAGGGTGAGCCCAGCCACGCACAGAGTCCTCTGCTTAGGAGGAGGGAGGCAGGACCTACCTGTGCGCCACTCAGATGAAGCGAGAGCCCCAAGTGGGCCTTCTCACCTGCAGAAGTGAGACGACTCGCTGTCGCAGTGATTATCATTATCTCAGTGATTTAGGATTTGCATTCTTGACTTTGAACTTTCTCCTTTCTGGTTAACTGAAGGTCAGCAGCTGACTGGTAGAGGCAGGACAAGTAAAGCTTCCCCCCACTAATGCTTACGCCAATTCAAATAAAGAAAAGGGACAAGCGTTCTTCTCTAGGACTTCTTTCCCAGAACAACAAACTTCTGGCTGTTCATCAGTATCTATATTGAGGTAAAGGGTTGCAGCTGAAGTTACTGAAACAAAATACGAAGGAAACTACAAAACACGGCTGCTCACAATCAGCCAAACAACTCCAGGAAGCAAGCCCGACAGGACTGAAGGAACACCAGAAAGGGACCTCCCGCTTGGATTTATTTTGTTCACTTCAGTCTGTCAAGTAACATGGAGCAGTTTTGCCCTCCAGGGACCTTAGAAACAATAAATGATTAATTTCTCTCAACAGTTTTTACTGAGGGATATATTTTATTAATTCTTATGTCAATAGAAAGGCAACTGATCAAGAGTGTTTCAGAGAGAATGAATGGAGGGAGATGTGTTCATGTATTTAGTAGAGTAAAATACCTTAGAACTTGTGCTCTAATAAAATCAAGCTACTATAAATTATAAAATGATATGAGTAAGGAAATTAACAAAGAAAAACATCAGACCACTTTTCCTTCTATGTAACAGATACACACCAAGAAAAATATGGTGGGTGTTTGTAGCTATTGATGTCTTCCATGGTAAGCACACGTATAGAAAGCTAGCTAAGAAAGCTAGTTAGGATGTGATTATTAAACTTGTTTTTAAATGCCATTTGTCATACATGCTTTCAGAAGCATTTTCTAAAATAATGTTAGTTGCTTCTTTTTAACTGTGCTTTGTAAAGACTCCTCAAATAATTTCTAATAAGTATTTGCTATATGAGTTATGTATTTCCTCTATAAAAAGTTTATGAACATTTACTGAAATATCCTACAGCTCTATTAAAATGTTAAATTCATGAAAACCAAAAGCAACAAGCAAATATAGACATAAATCCTGTATGTTCTATAACATAACATTGGGTAAAACCAAAAAAGACAGTTACTTCACCTTCGTTACATTTTAGCCACATAAAATGATAGCACCAAATAAATTATTTAAGATTTTGGTTTTTTTTTATCAGTGATGTCAAGGTCTGCTCACCTTTAACTCCAGCTATCTGGTTTTCACTATTTGCAGGAGGCAAATACAGTCAATTTCTTGTCAACAACACCAAAGTCTGGCAGAAACTGTATTCAATGAATCTCAAAATATTTTCCCATTTCATTAAGTCTAACTACATGCTTGTTGCAAAGATTTCAAGTATTAGTGTGATTTAATAGGCCGTTTACTCCTGTAACAGAGACAATGGTAAAATCAGAAGTGAAATTTGCCACTTCTGACTAGCACAGCCATTACGTGGCCCATTACTCCAATCAGCCTGCATCCAACAACACTGACATCACTTAACGCAAATCTGTCACATTCACTGATAACAAAATAGAATTATGGGAGAAAAGAAGCTAAAACAAAAGACATGATTCCTGCTCTTGCTGTATTATAAAACTCTATACAAGAATTCTTCCTCCTACCTACAAAGCCAACTGTGGAACATAACCTTTAGCTTTGAGATAATAAGAGAAATTCAAGTAAAAACCCAGATTGCTGCTCACTAAGGAAATTAGCTGGTGGGATGCGGAACAACAATTATATCCCATCCTTCCTAGTTCCTCCACGTCTACTTGAGTAGACTAATACAGTTGCACGTAATGGGCTGGCTTCAATGTAAAGTCTAACATAATTAAATATGAATGAGCTCCCAGGGGAATTAAATCAGTGTGTGTCCTAATTTTTCTCCCATAACTAGTTGCTCTCACTAGCAGTAGGAAAGCACACTGTGTAAGCAAGAGTAAGGGATGGCCGAGTTAAAGAAAGCAAACACAAAACCCAAGCGGAAGCAGCGGTCAGCCCCTCTCCTTCCTGTGCCATCACGCGCCCCCACCTCCCTCCTCCTCCCTTCTGGCTCTTTCTGTATGATGCACCCATACAGACGCATGTGCACTTAAACAACGGTGTACATTCTACAAACATTAGAACAACCCAGTGTTCACACAGTACTCCTTCAGACAAACAGGAGAATGTGTCAAGGGCTTTCTTTAACAATAATGTAAGTGAAGTCTTTATGAGTAACACAGATGAACTGATTTGTGTCACTGAATGATATAGAACTTATGTGTGAAGAGCTACCGATGATTCTAAGCATTTTCTGCCACCAGAAATAAACTGTTATGTGAAGATGCCAAGAGGCAGGAGGCCTCTCGCACAGGGGTGTGAGCCTTTTCTTTCTGAATATGGCCATGGCTCCTGTACATGCGCAACAGTCACGTAAGAACATGGAACGCTATTGCTTGGGGGACAGGAGGGGCGCATCGTCTGTGGTTACAGGCACTCACACCACGGGTTTCCTTAGCTGCTGTGCTCCAGGGTGAATAGTTCTTGCTCTATGTAGGAGGTACTTACATTAAGTAGTATAATAGGCAAAATTCTTTTTAGTAAGTTTTTTTTTTTCACAATTCTTCCCACTAACATTTCTATAAAGAACAGCTTTTTCCAAGAAAAAACTGTCCTTCCAGACTATAACAATAGCATTTTAAACTAGAAAACAGTATTCTCATTCGCATGCTCTCCAAAAGCTCTGTAGCTCGTTCAGACTAACCCAGTGCACACAAGTGCACTGCTACACAGCCCGGGGGTCTCCCCAACCACAGCATCGCCACAAAAGTCATGCTCACGCTGGCACTGCTTGCAGCACTTGCCGTCCACGTACGCAGGGGCCGACTTGGGCGGGCAGTCGGGAGCGGGGCAGCTCAGCGTTTCACACTGGACGGTTCCATTCTATAAAGCAAACAATATGTAAAGAATTTCAAGTAGGAAATCAGTAACCCTCAATTTCCAAATCTGTTCTTTAAATGTCAAACTCTCCACATAAAGTCATAGCTACACAATTTTCTTTAGCTTGATACAGCAATACACATCATATAGACACCCACAGGAACACACACAGCAATCACACAGCGGTTACTGGTTTCCGTTGTCTATCCAGCAATTGATCCTAACTGAGCTACAGTCCTTACTTTCTGTAGGAGAATGGATAAAGGCAAGGGTGGAGAAAAAAGCACCAGCCACCAGGGCATACCAGGCCGGGGCAGCCGCTGATCCCCAGATTGATCCCACGGTACCCAGATGGTCACCAGCGACTCACAAACTGAATGGCAACAAACCAGGATATTCCTAGAACAGCTACTGCACCCCCCGAAGTCTAGGCTCAATACTCAGAACTTTCAAATGATATTTAAGCTTAGCCAAGCTCCCCACACAAGGCAGGGCTGTGCTGCCAGTCACTACAGGAGGACCCAAACTGCACACGGAACCACTGGAATTCGCTTCCTGGCAGTCACCGGAGCCCAGGGAGCTGGCTGCTCAGGCCGACCGAGCCATCCGGCTGACCTCCCTGCACCACATTCTCCCTGTTGCTCCACTAGGTTTTCAGTCCTGATTTAACTTTTTAAGAAGTGTTACTGTACTTGTAAACTGTTATAATTTTGGTACAAACATATTCTGTTGAGAAAATGTAGATAAAAAAATGTGTGCACACACTATTTCTGAACTACTTTACTAGTTTGATTGTTCTTTACGCACAACATTCTGTTTTGAAAATAACCTGAATAAACAAGAGGAAAATTCTTAAAGGACAAATTCAAGTCATTCCAACTTCTTTCCATAAAAAATAGTTTTTAACAGATAAGTTCACACAAATGTAAAATTTCAAAAACAAGCTCATTGTGAACTTTCTTTTGAAAATGAATATACAGTTCCAGAATAATCATGCACTGAATTATCCTCCTTATCAGTGAGTAATTGGATACATACCATTTTTTTAATTCTGTAATTTGTAGTCCACTGAAGTAGTCAACTATTAAAAATTCTCTTAGTCACTGAAACTCAAATATTTCTTTATATTTTTCAATATGAACATACTTTAATATTGTACAAAATTTTGTTTCATTAAAATGCATTAAAACATGAGAGGAAACACTAAGGCCTAGAGGAGGGACTCCCCGGGGAGTCGCCTTACTAGCCTGATTTAAATTGCTAACTTCATGTGTGTATCAATAAGCTTAAACTTCACAGCAGTGCAAGCCATAATCACCCTTGCAGCCCAGAAAGTGGTTTTAATAATGCAACACATAGCTCTTTAGATGTGACCAGGTTTGCTGGCACTTAGTGTTGCGTCCTGAGAAAATAGGTCGTGAAAATTTCATGATTACATTGTTTTAATAAATTTTTAAACAGCAAGGGCATCCGCGTCCCCTCTGCATGAGCACACATGGAAGCCGTACCAGGCACGTGCAGTTCTTGCAGCCGTCTGTCCAGGACTCGAACTCTCGGTAGGTGGCCCCCTTCAGGGTGCAAGTCCGCTCACAGTAGCACTGGTCCAGCCTGCTCATGCGCTGTTCAGCTCGAGACAGCTGTGGCAGAAGAGGGGTGCAAGGTCACCACACCACAACACAGAGGTGCGGCCCTGGCAGGCCGCGCCCACCAACCTCTTGTCATAAACATACTTAAGCCTTTAATTAAAGAAAGGATTTCCCTTTCTGCCTTTGGTGAAAAATTTGCTTCCTGCCTTTAAAACAAGAAGCATAATTTATAAAGTATAAATGGAGACCAGTTCAAAATAGTTTCAACCACGATACAGGGGAAGAATTTTCTATGTTTAAGATATGTTTAATTTCATAAATAGGTTTACTCAAGGGAAAAATAAAATTTAAAATTTTTTTTTTTTTTGTTCCTCGAATGCCTTCAGGGCACTTTTGGCCAGCGGGAGAGGTGTGAGGTTTGAACTCCAGCAACCTGAGGCTGACAGCTTTGTGGAAGCAGCCACTTAAAGGCCTGAGCTAGGGCCAGGCCCCCCAAAATTTAAAATTTGTATTACATAAATATCAAATCATATGTGATAGGACACATCTTTCTGGTAATCCATACCCACACTACAAAAGTTTGAATCTGGTGGACTTGTCAGGAAGCCTGATAAAAGTTCAAGAGAGGGTGACTAAATTACGGCAGAAACGAACAGGTAATTCGAGTGTCTTTACAATCTTCCTACCTCTTTGCTTGTAATGAAAATCTCAATAGGAATAAAGAATAATAAAACTGGCCTAAAGGATAAATCTTGTTGTACTTAGCAGTGGACAAACCAAGTAGTCTGCTTCACTCCTGATTTGAGGAATCGTTCACTGTATATGTGGCCACAGTTTGAATATCTGTAAGACTTTCCCTTGAGCAAACCATTATGTTATAGGGAATCTCTCAGAGATGCAACTCCGTGTTGATAACAGGAACTGTTAGGAACCTCAAGGATTTTTTAACTCCTTCAACACATTCCCTAGTGCCTTTTACCTTGGCTGATGTTTTGGCTAAAACATCCTGAAGCTCCATGATTTTCTGCACCAGTCCATGGAAGTCATTGCACGTTGGACAGGCTAGAATTGCAAACATGACGTCAGTAAATGGCATTCATAAGGGGTTCAATCTGCCTCACTTTAAAGTGAAGCCATTATACGTGAACTCCAATTTCACCTGACATTCTGCACAAGATTAAGCCAGAAGCACACTGCCCAGCCCAGCCCAGCCCAGCCCAGCCCACTGCGCAAGACTGCCAGACTTACTGCGGTTGAGGTCCGGGCACTGAGCAATGAACCCTTGGGGCATGACCAGCAAGTGCACATCCTGCATGACACCCTGTGTGGGAAGAATTTTTGAACAGACATTATTTTCATGTATTCAAATAATGTTCAGTATTTGAGATCATGAAGAAAGACATTAAACAGTAGACTCACCAGAAGCCTTGAGTAAAGAGTTTTTAGGAATATATTCCCTCTACTTGATACCAACAGGGGAAGAAGTTCATTAAGTGGAATAGATGATTACCCATGTAGTCGTATTGGTAATATCTTTAAAGCTTTAAGATTAAATGTCAAGGTATAATTAAGTGGCAATAGTCAAGTTGTCTTGAGAAGTTATTTTTAGTTAGCCACTGAAGGAAGACTTGAAAACGACCTTTAAAAATTAACCTGACAATCACATCTGGCTTCAGCATCCGAATACTGAGACCAATTCTGAATTAATTATAACCTCCCAAAAGAAAAAGAAAAACTGAGTTGTAGTAGCAATGTTCATTTGAGAATTGCTCATTTTCCCATGAGATCTTTTAAAAGTAATTTCTCGATTCAGAAAACGACAATAGAATTATTAAACATGTGCGGTAAGACTCAGTGATGAGCTGTAGGAACACAGAAAGTTTTGCATGAAATTTATTAAAATATCAGCTAGAAATGGCCTGTTTTACATGGAAGGTTTTATCACGTTTTAAAGGCAGAATTCACATGCATCCTTAGTCCTTAAGGTGTAATTAGCTTCCCGCGTGCTCTTAGCGCAAAGGCCAGCGATAGCTCAGAAACGATCTCATCACAGTCCAGCTGTCTCTTTCATCCACTGATTCCCCACTTTCTGCATCAACTTTATGTATCACCCTTTATTGACATTTCAATTTATCCCTTTGAAAAACACAAACAGAATGTCTAAAGACAGCTGTTACCTAACCAACATGTTATGAAGACAATTTTGATTTTACTTATAAAGATTTACCAGTCAAATACTAACCATGTATCCTACATAGTTAATGTGTCAATGTGCATGATAAATATTTTAGTACACTGTGAAGAATCACTGAATCTGCTACCTGCTTCCATTTGGATTGAGAAGGTGACTCATGTACAAACTTGTCTCGCCACACGGAAGTAGTAATGTGAAAGCGAAGCTAGCATATGCAGTCACACAGTTCTCATGCTACACTGCTTGAGGGGTTACCTTTTTCAGGCTGCAACAAGGATGGTGACCCCTAAAGATGGCCACATCATTTGTAAGTACTGTGAGGCCACAGCTGGACTCCAGGGGTAAAATATCATAATTCGATAAAGGAGAGATTTGGAACTCCCAGCATGCCTCTGCCACCCTTACATGGGTGTTGCTGATTTTTGAGAATCTGTAAAAGTGGAGTCAGTTTCCTGTATGGCACTCACTAGCTGCCTGGCTTTGTTCAAATTCCTTACCGCTCTGCAGAAGCTTATGCCTATGCATAGAAGCACAAAAGGGGAGGGGCTGGGGAGATAGATCAGTGAATAAGCGTTTGCCTAGCAAGCATGAGGGCCTGAGTTCAATCCCTGGCTCTGCCAAAAAATAAAAAAATAAATAAAATAAAATAAAAAGAAGCACGAAAGTGTACTGCATCAGCAGGAGTAAGGCCAGGGCTTAGCAGGAAGAAAAGATTCAGAGCTCCTGGTTTAGAGCTGTCAAGGTTTAAATAAAAGCATCTTTCTAAAATTATAGATCTTGCTTAGAACACAAATTTAAATTTATTAGTAACTACCTTCCCATTAAATTCATGAGTTAAGCATACTGTTTGATCTAGTAATCATTCATTAAGCCACTTGTATATTGCAGGCACTGGTACGGTCCCTGAGAGAAAACGGTCATAATACAGCCTTGCAGTGATGCAATTCCTTGGACTTTGTTTTTTCATCCTTCATACTTGAAAATGAAATGGAATGCATACTTTTTCTTTTCCAAAGATGAAATTCTATGGAGTGTTTCTAATAATATACTAAAAAAATACATAAAGTGGACAGTCTTTTACACAAAGAGATCATAACAGAAAAATCCCTAATCTGCTACTAACATTCCTGTAGAAGTCTCACCAAAGGTTACATTGCAGTGACAGAGAGCTTATTTATATGTTAACATTTTAGCTTTTTATTACTTTGAATGCTTAATTTCAAGAATGAGATATCAACTGCCCCAAATGCAGCCTTGTAAGAATATCTAAAATGTTTGAAGATCAAACTCCTTGAGGAGTTATCTTACCCTCTAAATACATGAAAAACAGTAATTGAAAACATACATAAACATCTATACAAGTCAATTCTTTTGTTTGACACTGTAGAAAAGATGTGTCTCCAAACTCAGTAGAAGTCACACTTTATACTCAGCTGCACTCAACATATACCTTAAAATATCCATGTGCATTACTTCTCTGTCCCAACCAAAATGCTGTGCCCAGAGGCAAGTCTGTAGAGGGCTTTTCCACCACTCTTTCATAAATTCTGTAAAAGAGAAACATCAGACAAGGAATGTGACTGAACAGTCCTTTCCGAGA